TGAATTATATCAAACATTAAATATTCAAATTACAGATTTAGATTCAAAGGAAGTGTCTGTTTCAATTATAAAAAAATAATAGCTTTTTTGTAACTTTGGAGCATGTTAATTAGACCAAGAAGAAATAGAGCATCGAAAGCCATACGCAACATGGTTCAAGAAACAACACTCAATGTAAATAATTTAGTATTTCCATTATTTATTATTGATGGAAAAAATATCAAAAATGAAATAAAATCACTACCTAATATATATCAATTAAGTATAGATAATATATTAATAGAAATACAAGAATGTATAGATTTAGGCATACAATCGTTTATTATATTTCCAATTGTAGATGAACAATTAAAAGATAAAGAAGCTACATATAGCTATAATAAAAATTGTTTTTATTTAAATGCGATTACAGAAATAAAAAAAACATTTCCCAGAAGTTTGTCTCATTAGTGATGTGGCCTTAGACCCATACAGTTCTGATGGGCACGATGGGTATGTAAATGAAGATGGCACTATTGATAATGAAAAAACATTGCCCATTTTAGCAAAAATGGCTGTAGCACAAGCACAAGCTGGAATAGACATTATTGGTCCTTCTGATATGATGGACGGAAGAGTAGCTTATATTAGAAAAACATTAGATGATCATCATTTTATCAATGTAGGCATAATGTCTTATACTGCAAAATATGCAAGTGCATTTTATGGTCCATTTAGAGATGCTTTGGCTTCTGCTCCAAAAAGTGGTGATAAGAAAACATATCAAATGAATCCTGCCAACAAACGAGAAGCTTTGATAGAAGCAAACTTAGATGAAAAAGAAGGTGCAGATTTTTTGATGATAAAGCCAGCATTACATTATTTAGATATTATTCATATATTAAAAGAAAAATACAATTTGCCAATTGTTGCCTACCATGTAAGTGGTGAATACGCCATGCTACATGCAGCTGCTAAGAATGGTTGGTTGGACTATAATAAATGTATGGAAGAAACACTAATAAGCATAAAACGTTCTGGAGCTGATATCATTATTTCTTATGCTGCTAAAGATTTTGCAATGATAAACAGATAATAACTATTGTAGATAGACAAAAAAAAGGATAGCCAATAGGCTATGCTTTTTTTTGTAATATAATGTAATTGAATAATGATTAATTAGTCATTACCTTTTCTTTTTTAGTATTTTGTGGTTTAGGTTCTTTAGCCTTTTTTTCTTCTTTTACTTTCTCAGGTTTTGCTTCTTTCGCTTTTTTCTCTTCTTTCGCTTTTTCTGTTTTAGGTTCTTTTGATTT